GGTATATTTTAATAACTAGTACCTAGGTATAATTTGGGTCGATTTTTCAACATTTTTTTAGAGCAAAAATGAAGAGAAAATCATGCATTCTACGTGGAACAATGAAGAAGGAATCACCCAATCAACAATAATTGAAAATTGTACTACTTACAATCTGTTCTCTGACGTTATTGTGGAAAATTTGTTCATGTATGTCTGTTTCATCTTCATAATCATCCATAATTTGATAATTCACCTTTTTCTAAATGTCGAACCTATCATCACAAATCTGAAATAGATCATATTCTTGAAGTTCAAACTAAACAAGACTATTTATTCCATAATTTCTTTGGAAAAGTATTGAATTATTTGAAGTTTCAATATAATATTTATAAGTTCAAAACGATCAATGTTCAATCTTTTACATGACATTATTGCCAATTTGACATGCATGACATGACAAGACAATTACATTCATGACAGCGAAGTGAAGTGGGCAACCAAGATCAGCTGTCGAAATTTCCGAAGATAGCCGAATATTCAGTGGCGTAGTAGAAATAATCTTTATGCAGAAATAAATTTACGTCTATCAAAAGGAGGCAGGAATGCTCAAACCCAGCGAGCACAAACATCCCTGAGATAGTGAGATGTTTTGAAAATGTTGGCATAAGGATGTTTTTTGGGACGTAATATGCACTTCTCAAAGAGGTCTTCAGAGGATGTTGGAAGTATTGTTTTCCTTCTTCTGTTGCAATTCCTTATTGTCTGCCTACTGAGAGGTATTAGAGAAAAAAAAGAATGTTAACATGTGGATGTCATTTCTAGATATAAAATAGCCTGCCTTGAGAGGTTCATTGCAGATATTCATATCCATTCATAATTTCCAGTTTCATAATATGGTTTTTCTAATTTTGACATGTAATGTGACACTTTTCAAAACTGACGGAAGTTTTGAAACGTCTTACTTTACGTAACCAGTTGCGTAAAGTAAAATTTTACATAACTGGTGATGTAATGTTCATTTCATTTTTGTGAAGAGTCGGCAGAACTCATGTAAAACTGGTCATTATTTTTGTTCATGCGAAATGTTTCGTCAAAATTAGAAAAAATATTGTACGTCACTTCGCTCGTCCCGCAAAATCCCATCGTTACACAAAACAACGCGTTTCCTAACTGATTACGTAAATATCTATTTTGACATTTTTCTCAATAACTCCACAATTTTACAGACAATTGAACTTTATTCATGTAAATGTGATTTTCCCCGAGTTTTCAACAATCCATTGTCTACACTCGCTAAGAGAGAATATGAGCCATACACTGCAGTGTTGACCATTGACCGTAATAATATCGCAAACAGCACAGAATATTTCACGAATTCTGATGACAACGTTCAGAACGTTTGTACATAGCTATTCTAGAATATTCTGATGGAATGATCATAGAGTGTTTTCATCCTGGCAACAAAATAATGTTCCATGAACATTCAAATTGACATATTCTCGCATGAACAGTTCATTGACTGTTAGCGTAACGAAACATGTCGTGTGTTTGAGAATTTGTGAAAAATTTTTTTAAAAAATATGAAATCGAGAGGTATTTGAGTGATGATTCTATTCAAGAAATAAAAAAAAAATGAGTCCACTCGCCTATCGCATCATTTCATCACATGGCGTTTCGGAAATATTCAGGAAATATCATCTTCAGGAACTCCATTCAAGTAGGCCTCAGAAGCCATTTTTTGACTTATGTTCAATAGAACTTTCCCTCCTATTTTTAGTCGAAGAACCTGCTACTGAAGTATGACAGCCCAGACAGCACTGGATATTCATAGAATATTCTCTAAATATGCTAAAAAGGAGGAGTATATTCCGAATATTCATCGATTATTCCTAGAATATATACATGCCTCTGGAACATCTAAAAGGAATATTCCAAAGTGAATAGTCGCGGACATGTTCAGGGAATATTCAGTTATGAATCTTCCAGGAATATTCCCAACTGAATATTCTCTGTTGTATATTCATGGAATATACCCAACTGAATATTCTGTCCGGTATATTCATGAAATATACCCAACTGAATATTCTGTGCGGTATATTCATGAAATATTCTCAACTGAATATTCTGTGGTGTATATTCATGAAATATTCCATGAATATTCCTATGTTTCTCAACACATTAATACCATTTATTATTTCAGAGATGTGAGTATCGAACATCAATTAGATGTAAGGGGATTTTGAAACAAAAAGTGTTTATGATCCGATTTCGAACAATGCTCTCACAAGAACTTGATATGTAAAACTTTATTTAATTTGATTACTGGCCTAGTGGTCAAGGCGTTGCTCTGATAGTCTTGAGGTCACGAGTTCGATCCCTACTTGGGTCACTTTTTTTTATTTTAGAATATGTTTATTGGAATATTCCAGGAACATTCAACATAGAATATTCTTTTGGGTATATTCTATGATTATCCGAGGAATTCCCATTCGCATATTTAGAGAATATTCCACAGATATTCCGGAATATTCCAGATTATTTCTAGAATATTCCAATATTCCAAAAGGAATATGATAGGGAGATTCATGGAATATCTGGTGCTGTCTGGGAGGCTCATTTCGTGACACCCGCTGTAGGTAGAAGAATGCTTCCTAGCATCGCTGATTTTTATTTAAATACCCCTTTTTCACACGCCCCATTGTTTCAATTTGACAATAAATATTATGAACCTCAGAACTGGAATATACTTTATTCTAAAACTATAGAAGCAAAAATGAAAATGTCCTGCTGTGTAATGAATTGCGGGAATTCTGAAGGGAATGGCGATTTCATTTCTTTTAGTTTCCAAAGGAAATATATCAACACCGCAGCCGGGCGGCTATTATCATCATAACTGCATGCATGGGATCAACATATCAGGTGACTGCAATTGAGGGGCTCAATGCATAAACCGGCCAAGTCCATTTTTTCGGTGAAATGAGTTGAGGATATATTCATGCACAGTATAGAATTCTGAATCGTCCAGTGCATGAAAGAGCTCTGTACCATCAATGGTGTGAGAGCTAGATTGTCCTGGACTCGACTGGTTTTTGCACAGTATCGTCAGTATTTTTTATGATTCGTTAACATAACATGTTTTTCGAGTCTTGGTTGTGTTTTTTCACTTTTTCCATCTGGACCTAGAGTAATGAAATAACAATGTATAGTGATAGTGAAAGCGAAGCAGATCCTTTCGAAAGAACGCATACAGACAGCGATAAAGATTATGTACCGAGTTGCAAAAAACCTAGACGTTCAAGCAGTACCTGGAACTTCTACTTCTATTCCACAACGAGGCAAGAAGCGACTCGTGCGTAAATCGTTATGGAAGAGGAATATTCAGAAAACCAAGAGAGTTAAGGGCGAACCTTATTTCAACATTACTGGTTCACATAAACCTGAGAAAAGCATTGGGGAGAACTGCCATTGTAAGCTGAAATGTCTCGATGAAATTGGAGCCCAAAGCCAATGTTTCGCGATTTTTATGCAATGGAATCAAAAAATTTGCAGGATGCATATTTGTATGGAAATATCGAAAGAGTCGAGGTACATCGTAGAAGACCACGTTCCGGTGATAACAATGAGAAAAATTCAGCAGGTATAATAATTTTCTGAACTGAAAAAAATCGTTATATTGTATGTCAGTCGGTGTATCATGAATGACGACTATAGATATGAAGTGATTTAGGTGTGAGAACGTTTGCATTTGTTCATCTTTCTAATCGAAACTTTTTTATAGCTTCCTTCTATTCATTTCAGATTCCTCAAAATGAAGTAGCTCGAAAAATTTGCAAGAAGGCCTTCCTTTCTAGTCATGGAACATGGAACTCCACCTATCGATAGAAGAGGAAAACACTTGTTCAGACCTCATAAACTTCCTGAAGGCAGTGATGAAAAGATACGTGAGCATATACTCGCAGTTACCCAAGATACAAATCGCATTACAGCCGTGAAGATAACTGGCATCACTATTACCTGTCTCCTCTCCTGAATATCTCAAAAATGCATAATACACAGATATCAAAGATAAAACAACCCTGGCTAAGAGAGATCCGAGTGTAGAAGTTTTAACATTCGACTTCCAGCAAAACTTGCCGCTTCCCGTTCCTGCAAGTGGAGAAGTCTCATCTTTGGGTTTACAACTTTTGGATTCACGTGGGAAGTACTGGAAAAAGTTTCTTTTATGTCTATGATGAGACATTGGCTGCTAAAGGACAAAATGATGTAGTCAGTTTGCTATATCATTTCTTGAGTAACTATATCGGCCAAGCATCAGTTACTGATTTATACATATTTCCTGATCTGTTCCTCGCAAAACAAACAAAAATTATGTACTGGTACAGTTTCTTCATACTATGATAGAAGGAACAGGGAAGTTCAGGATGATACAGCATAGGTATCCCGAACCCTGGCACAGTTTTCTTCCGTGTGATAGGAACTTTGGAGCGATAGAAATACAAAAACGAAAGTATGACAAAATATATTTACTCCAAGAATACTACAGGATTATAAAAGACACCAAACAAAACTTTGGAGTGATTCAGGTAGCGCAGGATAAGTTCTTTTATTTCAAGGAACATTTGCAGCAGTTTTTTGTTAGGAAGCCTTCGAGAAAGAATAACAAATTCACTATCTCGAAATTTCGTATCATGCGATACGAAAAACAAGATAGCGAAATAATATCATTCCAATGTAGCGAATCCGTATCAATGATCTTGTTCACTTCGTTTGAGTTACGAGATAAGAGGAATGTTCAATCCCTCACTTTACCAAACGCTGCAAATAGATATTGTACAATGCAAGAAGAAACCTCAAGAAAAATAAATTTGATCATGTCATGTCTCTTGCAAAGAATTACGTGCCACAGTGTGATCAATGGTTTTATGACGGAATTAGAGAATATCACCAGAGTTTCCTGCCAGAGAGCAAAGACATAACTTCCATGTCAGGGATAAAAATATCCCAAATTCATGTTTCTTGCACATAAAATTTATTATTATTCTTTATTTCACCCCAAAAAAATCGAGAAACTTTGCATAAACCGGTCAAGTCCATTAATTTTTCTCAAATTTCTCATCTATCCTTCTGCTACAGCTCTCAATATTGCTCAAAACTAACATACTAAGATCAACTGCAAATGATAAGATATTCAGAACACATAGCTATGTATATGATTCAACCTGAAAATCGTTTTTTTCTTCTCCCCAACATTTTGCTCTATGTGGCCGGTTTATGCATTGAGATTGAGCCCCTCAATTGCTTCCTCGTATCAAAAAACTAATTTTATAGGGTCTATCCGATTTGAATCATGCCTAAGGAAATACAGTTCACTCAAATATCGAATATTCGTCAACATAATAATGCAGGTAGATAGGTTTATATTTATATTTGTATACATTTTTGGAGTTTTTGTTCTAAAAGACTAATAAGTATCATGAATATAAGCGAATGTAAATAATACGCTCAGCTCTTGATCATTTGTGCATAGATTTTCTTGGCATTTCCTGAACAGCTTCCCTTAGAGATAAGTAAATCTGTCATCGATTTTATCATCGTGGTTTCTGTCGAAACTATAATCGAATTCAGGATTGTCTTCAATTCCAATAAGGTCCGAATCTCCACTTCTCATACTGAAAATTGATAAAATAGTTGAAATAGATTTTAGTTAGGCTGTAATAATAATCAAGGGTGGAAGATAACTACTTTCATATTACAAATTTATTAAACTCATCGTTTTAATAAAAAGAATCATCAGGAAGCATTGATTTTTCCCTAAAAGTCGGTGTATTACGAACACCGGCAAAATAATCTATTCATTCAAAATATTTATGAAGTTAGCCAATCAATAATTTGTTCATTCAACACCGCCTTGAATATTATTTCCTTCAAAGTGTGGGTGCATTCATAAGAAAGCTGACAGGCCTTGGAATTTCAAGATATCAATCTATAGTATGGAGTGGCTAAGCTGTTATAAAGTTACATCTATTCCTCAAATTTTTTTTCTATAAAGTTGACAATAACTTAATTTTTGTAGAAAATGTAGGGGCGTTCAGAAAGAAGTTATGGAGGAGCTTGGTAATGCGCTTTATGTTTATGTTTATTTATTTTCGACGGTCATCAGCGACGATTCAATATTCCACCAAGAATCGCAGTAATAAACAGACAGACCACCTCGAAGGCCAGACATAAATAAATAAATCATTCTCTATTCCACACCCATTTAATGTATGGAATATTACTTTGGGGTAAGTCCACCCATGCCCTCAGAGCATTCCAAATACAGAAAAAGACCATCAGAATTATAGCTGGAGCTCCATTTAATGATCACTGCCGACCACTCTTGAAAAAATTCAGAATTATGCCATTGCCCTGTATTTATATATTCTACTCCTTACTTCATATTCATAAGAACAAAAACTCTTATCCCACTCACTCCGACCTTCATAACTACCCCACTAGAAATGCAGAAAAACTCCGGCAACCAAAGGTTATGCTCGAAATGTCGAGGCGTAATACAGTGGATTTGAATCTTTATAATCACCTACGCTTTCAAGCATGAATGTGTTCAGAAGGAGGGTGAAGGAATATCTTCTTGAGAATTGCTTTTATTATTCTATCAAAGAAATACAAGATAATTTCAAATTTATCATAACCCTTAGTTGTTTTGAAAATTTGTTTTGGTTTCTCATGTACTGATGTGAGATTTTACCTTCATATATTTGTCATCTATAGATGTTTTAATATTTACACTCACATATTATTTAGTACTTGTACCCATTTATTCTTAGGACTTGTCATAAATGTAATTTTGTTACATAACATGATTGAATAAAATCTATATCTATCTATCTATCTAAACCCAGTTGAGATGCTCATCTTGGTGTAGTTGAATTCCATAATTCTTTTTTATTTTTTCTTAAATCTTCATTTTACAAAAAACAAAGTTTATTGTTACAAATACAGAGAGAAAATGTTGGTGAAATATGTAGGATGATAACAGAATAGGGTTCAATCGCTGGGGCACTTCACAGATAGTTTGAAAAAGTCACTTTTTGTGTCAACCTTATTAATAATGAGATGATCCCAATATTTCAATGAAACTTCAAATTATTGACAGATTCGTCATGAATTCACCTACAGTATACTATGAAGGAGAAAATAATCACATCAGATTTGAATTGACTTCAACAGTGGCTCGATATATTTTGACGGTGAGTGTATTATTGAAATATCTTTATTTCGATACGATTATAAAAAAATATAAATGGTCATGGAAAATCTCTTATTGATTGAAAAACAAAAAAAAAACTGATGGTCGCTTAATTTGAAATTAAAGAGGAGTTGAAACTAATGCCACTCCAGAGTAGGCATATGTACCTATTCCAAGAGTGATGTCACTTGAACTGAAGGACAAATAAAAAATATTTCCATGTGATAATTAAATAATTTTTTTTTTAATTGCAATCATCAGTTTAGTGTCGGGATTCTTAGAGAATCAACATTTTTATTTGTTGAATCTATTACTGAAAGAACAATATCTGTTAAACATTGGTTATTTTGGACACAATATCAATTGGCAGGATATCATAGAATCAACAAATCGCAATGAGTCCCACTCGTATTGCCATCTCTTTAACAAAAACACTCTGTATTGAAGAGTATCTTTGGGCGGTTGCTTAAATGTACTTGAAACGTACAGAAAACGTCAAAACAGCAGTGTCAAGTACATTTAGGAACTCTATTGCATATTAGCGGGTTATTTGAATAATTGAGCTGTGTATATCATTGTGTGTTAACGTATATTGTAGAGTAGGTGAACAGGAAGAAGAACCCGACTCTAAGTTTGCTAACCCATTCGAAGAATTAGTTTGCCTCGGTTATTCAAATAGATACGTCCGCCAAGGATATATGATCTAACGATTGATGAAATAAACCTCTGGTGCGCTCACTCTTTATTTATTTCGTCAGACTAGTTCTTGATATAAACAATTGCATTTCAGACGATGACGTGGGGTTGTTGGTAGGCGTGATTCCTAGTGCGGCTCAAGGTAGGTAGAACTTATGATCAACATCAGCTGTACCAACCTTGATGCGGCTGGATCGCAATAGTATATTGTGCAACAAGTAAGAAAAGTTCAACTTCTCTCACGAGTGCGAAAGTTTGTGGCACGAGTGAGAAAAGTGCTTTTCTCAACATGTTGCACACTATACTTTTTCTACAACTGCACTTATTCAATGAATCCGAGTAATGTAGGTAACTTATTGGTATTCATTTTATAATGTAGCACTATGCCACATTGATTATTGTGACCAAAGAGTAGATGCCTTTCCTAGTTCCTCAAAGTATTTCAAGAAAGTACACTTTCCGAATAAGAATTTATTTCTGTATTTTTTTAGATTCCATGAATTATTCGTACCAGTATGCCAATTCATATTTTTTTCTTTGAATTTCCGGAAACAAATCCAACTTTCGCAGCTTCTTCCATTATCTTTGTCTCTGGCGGTGTATTTATCATAATCATCACATCTCGGTATAAACATCATATTATTTATTATGAATGGTTGGAATAATATAAAATGGAAAATGCGATTTCTATGAAAAGCACTAATGAGAACTACCTTAGAGGATTTAAAAAACGTCTTCTGGCAGTTGTGACAACTATTCAAAGCTGAACAGCAGCCAAGTTTTGGTCGATTTTTGTGTTAATTCCCCATGGAAATGTATGTGGTGTTGGCAAAGTGCCGTGAGAAAAAATATTTCTCACAGTATGGGCAATACATGGTTTTGAAAGTGAGCTATGAGAAATGCGCTACTTTTCATAGCAGTAGTAGAAAAAATGTATTTCATACCTTCATTGGTCACAATTGTCACATTGATGCCTGTAATTTTGGAACGGCACCACATTAAGCGAGATTCACCCACTCTATGTTATATGTTTATCGAAGTAGACGAAAATCAAGGAATTGTAAAAAAGGAAAGGATTGAAGTGCATACACCAGGGGTTTATTTCATCAATATCTGATGTATATACAGGGTGGCCCACGGTCGATGGTACCTTAGACGTATACGGAAAACGGTACATTGGATTATCCTGACAATTTGGTTACTCTAATAAGCGTTTGTGATATAACGATTCAATGTATTTTCCGCGATGCAGCATTGCCACTTTTACCAAAAAGTAGCATCATTTTGTTATTTCAAATGGAACACCCTGTATTTCATTGCATTTTTAGATTCTTCTCGAAGAGCTGATTTTATCAATGCATCACACTTGAAGTCTAGCAGGAATTATTACAGAGACATAGGGTGTTCAAAATCGAGATTTTTCAATTTCAGAAATTTTTTGTGTCGAAACTATTCATTATCGATCAAAACGACTTACATGTCCCTATCTCAACTTTGGATTCACTATCTACTGACATTTAATTGGAACAGATACAGGGTGATCAAAATTCTGAATCTTGGACCATCCTGTATTTTTTCCAATTAAATGTCAGTAGATAGTAAATCAAAAGTTGATATAGGGACATGTAAGCCGTTTTGACCAATGATGAACAGTTTCGACACAGAACAATCCTAAAGTTGAAGAATCTCGATTTTGAACACCCTATATCTCTGTAATAATTCCTGCTGGACCCCAAGTGTGATGCATTGATGAAATCAGCTCTTCGAGAAGAATCTAAAAACGCAATAAAATACAGGGTGTTCCATTTGAAATAACAAAGATGATGCTACTTTTTGGTGAAAGTGGCAACGCTGCTTCGCTGAAAATATTTCGAATCGTTAGATCACAAAAGCTTATTAGAGTGACCAAATTTTCAGGATAATCCAATAATGTACCGTTTTCCGTATACGTCTAAGGTACCATCGACCGTGGGCCACCCTGTATACATCAAAGTATTATAGTATGTCAATCGGTCCCATGATTGTCTCAGATGACACACCAGAGGACGCATCTATTGGCTACAAGCCGTCGCTCTTCATACAATATGGGAGTCTCTAAGTGGTGCCATCTGTAAAGAATATAGTGGAGAAATCCCTAGGGAACATTCAGGAATATGTTTGATCTAGGAAAAATATTGAAGAGAATAAATCCATAAAGGGACATTCAAAGGACGTCCATAGATAATCATTTCGAGAAATTTACTAGATCGGATGTTCTGAGGACAATAATTTCAGGTCTGGGACATTCGTAGATGACTTGTACTAGAGCGACGTCCCTAGGGCATTAGATATTGGCTTCCTACGTGTTTTGAGAAATATATGAATAGTTAGTTACTGTGTTGAAATGAGAATATAGATGTTATTACCTTTGATTATCAAAATCTCCCATATCTTCCGTTTTCTTCATATCATTAGTATTGAATACAGGGTTCGATCCTTCGATTGCATGTTTATTAGTTGTAGGAGCAGATATTCCAAGTCTGTTCAACCCTGATTCCTGAGAGCCAAATTTCTTTTCAGTGAGTTTGGAAATTCTTCTATTCAGCCTGGAAACAATTTAATAACCATAACATTCATATGCATTATCAACTCTACTGAATTAGGAATAACCATATCAATTTAAATTAAGGAGAAGCTCTATAATTCTAGTTTTAGCTGAGGTGTACTTACTGCTTCATTTTGAAAATGAAGGTGATCAATAAGGCGAAACAAAGAGCTCCCAACACAATTGCGACTCCTATCAACCAAGCCTTGAGTGTTGCTTCCTTATTTTCCGGAGTAGTGTTCGTCGAAGGAAAACTCATGAGCATTAGTTGTATCTTGTCCCTCAGTTCAGAAGATAATTTCGAAAACGTGTTGACGTTAGAAACTATTCTGTAATAAGAAGGTTATCAATATGTATGAAGTTGATGTTTCTAGCACCTGGTTAGTATACCGATTCCTGATGATCAAGTTGATTATACTCAGAAAGGGGTTTGTAACTGATCAATCAAATGAAGAAAATTTTTTATTTCGTGTAAAATTTTATTTTGGAAATCGCAGAGCACTTTCAGCTCTGATAAGCCGTCATCAGTGCTATACCTGCAATAAGTGGATACCTAATCTTTATGAAACATTAAATAAAAAGAAAAAGTGTGAACACTCGTCAAGTATTTAAAAGAGGGAGTAAAATTTAATCGACATCATTTTGGTACAAACAGCAGCAGGAACAGACATACATTTGATTGAACTGTTTATCTTTCATTGTATTCCATATTTGATTTATTTATTATATCTTTTTTGTTTTCCTCTATAAAAATTGTGTGTTTCTTAGGATCAATAAATGTTATTATTATTATTATTCAACAAATAAGTTCCCCAACGGGTGGGGAGCAAAGTCACAAATGCTTCCGATTTGCACTATACCAGAGATTATAATCTCTGACTATACCATTCTTCTCGGAATATATTCTTATAACATTATTACGAAAACATATACACAATGGTTGGCTCGTTGGCTGAATAATGAAAATTCAAGAAAAAATATTTCAATTCCATTTGGCATGTGGACCCTGTACTAACGTTACTATGTGTATGAACGAACTCTAAAAAATTAGTTGCGGACAGACCCTATATATGGAACGGTTGTTTTACTTCAGGAACTTGTTTTGAGGTTTACGAAGGATATTTGAAGTCATCATGTATATCTATTCTTTCATATTTTTTGAATAATATCGCAAACCAATTGATTTTGGTATTATATGAAATTATATAAAATTGTACTTTTTCTGGAAGTGACAATTTCGACAATTTTTCCCGTTGAATATCGTCATGAATCACGTAATATAGTACTCGACGAGGTACACCGGAACGTCGGAATATTTCAAATATTATGCATATTTTGATGATTTTGAATAAGGCTTGCTATGATCGGCCAAGGAGGCCAAAAGTATCTAAAACTGCACCAGAAAAACAAAGATATACGAAACCATGATAAAATTGGGTTTTGCTCCAAGCGGCATAGAAAGCGGCTTTCTTCTGACACTCAACAGGCGGGAAAGGTGTACTTTCTCTGCCTAGGCAGGAAAAGTTCGTCGCTATGCATCGTTTCAAGTAATTTGAATGAAATTGTTAATCAAAATTGATACTGACATTGGGTGAAAACAAAATGATGGAGTTTTCAATGAAAAGAATACACGAAATTGGTAATATAACATCTGGAGAAACAATTATATGTTATTTCATACGGCTGCAAATGTAGATTGACTGCCTTTGCTGCCAAGTAAACCAGATAAATATTTTCGCAACAAAAGGCTTCATGGGCTATTATGACTTTGAAAGAGATAATTGATGGTGAGCAACATGATTATTGAAACTGTTATAACATCAGAGTGATTATTATCGTTTCTTTGAAAAACCTACCTCAGGATAGATTCTGCATCTGACGCTGTAACTGGATTATCTTCTCTGAGAAGTCGATCATTTGGATTCAGTTCTTTAGTGAATGTTCCATTGATGAAGTATAAGCTGGCTTGTGAGTATACTGTATTGTCCTTTGTCGTTAGGTTTTCTATGGTATGTCTGTAAGCTGGTATCCCTACGATGTCACTAACTATGTCTAACATCTAGAAAATATGTACTATCCTGATTAGATTGACAACTCCAGATCAGTAGATAGATAGGTATTGTAGATATTAACATACAAAATTAACTTGTTGCAGGTACACTATTTGATATTATATTGAAGTGAGATATGGTGTGGTTATTTATTCTATAAAACACCACGAATTGAAAGAATCTGATTATTCGAAAGCGAAGCTGTATTCTTCTTTCGAAATGCGAATAATACATACTGATTGATATACTATGACTTTTTGAATTGATTCAATGAACAGGTTTGAAGAAACTATAGTCAGTCAACCCATCGTGTCAAAGATTGAGTGTTTTGTTTCAAATTTAAAAACATATAGGACATTTTTTCAAACACTTATTATGTATTTCTGGAGTGCCTGTAAGCCAGGTGTAACTGAATCATGGTACACTGTCTTGTTTCTTTCAGTTTTGAAGATCGATAATTTTTGAGCAACGTATGCAAATTCAATCGAATATTATCCCACTGTGTTCGATTCACCCATGTCCAAAGGAGACGTTAACAATTTGAAAACCGAACGGTTGGTTTATCAATTTTACAGGGGATGAACGATTAGATAACTTAGTTGTAGGAAAAACTGAAGATGGTTATATATAAATACTATAATTGAAATTGAATTAATGATATATAAATGTTAATTTACCAAAACTAAAAAAAAGTATAATTTCTCAAATCAGTTTACATGTGCATTTTGTGCTTGAAAAACATTACATCAAAACCACTTTAAATCAAAAATAGTTTTTCGATGATATCCCCATTGGAATCAATCAATTCTATCAATGATAACAAACTTCAACTTTCAAACATCTCAAATACATCAATGAAGCAAATACATAACTTAATGTCTCGCAATCTCATATCTTCTCGATCATCAAATATTGAAATCAACTCAATTATTATTCCCAAGAACTTATAATCCCAGAGAGTTCAAAGGAATCCAATACCTATTTTTTTCCCATTCCTTCCAGGTTTATACGTATGATGTTCTTATTCGAACATTATGAGGATACCATTTCGTTCGCTCCAAGCGATAAAAAAAATTCAACCCTGAATCCAGTTAAAATCATTGAATCTATCTTATCTAGGATATATTTCATTTCGTATCTCATACTCAGCATCTTCTCAACTTAGTTACGATATAGAAAAAGTGATCGAGTATACAACTGCAAACTTATACATGTGCAATAAAGTAAAATGATTTTTATAAAAAATATACAAGAAAATCTCATTTGTCAATCAAACTCCTAGATCTTTCAACACTAGGTTAACTGACCATCACTGCAAGACTTTCTAAGTCATTTACGTTCAAAAAAGTTATGTTGAAATTCCAGATACTTTCGATTCTATTCTGTTGTTACATAAACACACCAACTTGGTGGGGAATCTCTGGTAGAAGTCCAACTTGTTGGGGGTTGAAAAATCGCTATATTAATTAAACTTGTCACTTAACACTGTTTCTGAGTTAATATCATTTCTATAAACATATTGTACTGTTCTGTTATCTGATTCACTCTATAAGGTACATTGGGCAGTGTGTGCTCAAGCTTAAGTCTTGATTGATTAAATCTACATTATTGTTAACTCAAACAAATAGGCAATGTCTGAATAGATGGTCGTTAGCATAAAAATGTTTATTCACAACCATATATGTAATGTTGTCATTACTAACGTCATTGAAGGTTGGGAAGTGTCACATTTTACACCTCTACTACCCGCCCTCACTTCCCGCCCCTCACTACACTGAGGAAAATTGTGCTATTAGAGTTTTTGCTGAGATATTTCTTGCTACCATTACAAGAAATCACATTACCGTTATACATTTTCGAATAGTAGCAGCACCTTCAAATTCTATGATAGCAATAACGACTTTGCTGAAAGTGAATTTCCTACCACAGGAAGGTATACTGCTGTAGCTATCAGGCAGCCACTCTGGGACAGCATGATTTTTTTTATAATTGTCTAGCTGAACTACTACTAGTGAGTTATATGCTTGTGGCTGCGAGGTTCATCGCATAGAACTGCACTCACTTCCAATAATACAACTGTCAGTCTGCCACGAAAATAATATTTGACGAACCAACTTGGGGTTATTTAGCGCCTACTCATCGTTATTCGATATTTCGCTGATTTGTCCCCCTCTATGTAAACATTTGTCAGACATCTTGCTTGATCAATCATTCACAGTTGGGCTCTTGATGCAAACCCATGTACAGGACGACAATCTCGACGACACGGCAGTTACGAATACTCCCCCTCTTGAATTCAATTCATTATTCAAAATCTGAATCTGAATTCAAATATAAAATGGAGACATTTTCAAACAAATAAAAAAATCTTCTGTGTCCCTTTCAGTGCTTTCGTAGATCTGAGTGCTTCAGATATTTATACCAGGATTGATGGAATGATGAAGGTGAGTTTTTTCGAGTTTTTTTGTCTGAAATTCAATTATTTTACATTCCATAACATTTTCCTCTCTTTGGTATCATGAAACTTTGAAATGGTCAAATATGTTCCAGAGCTTCTCTATAGAATCTGGTCTAAAAACTCATTGTGAGCAAAAATGTCCAGGTGATGAAATTATTTGAATGATTTTACTGGTAACATTTTGTTTTCCTGTACGCATCTGTAATAACTTGCCTAGTTTTCGAAATACAATGGTTTCAGAAGGTTTCAGAAAAATTATTTTTTTCATCAATTACTCAAAAAACCCTTTGGTTTTTCCTGAGGGTCCATGAATCAATTGATCTATTGAATTTCAAAGATCATTGGTCCGAAATTTTCTTTAGGAATCAATAAATTGCTATTCATACCAAACATCAAGGTGGAAATTATGGGAAGTGAAAGTGAATATCAGTCAAAATTTCACCTTTCTTGATGACAACAATCCTGGAAAATAACTAAATAACTATACAGTAAGAATAAGGTCATGCAACTATCTATATGATCACCCATCAAGAGTAGCAAAGTTCCCTACCTACGATTATAACATTGCCCTACCCCATTATTAGATGCACTCACTAGCGGTAGCAAAGTCAGATACCTACTACAGAAATATTGTCTAATAGCATCATACAGATGCACTCGCTAGTGACAGCAAGGTGCTATATCTAATAATCACAGATGGGTTATAATCAGCAAAGTCGACTCTATAATCATAGGTGATAACTCGCTTGTCCCCTATGCTATTAGAGTTTCTTGCTGGGGTAATTCGATTTCTGACTATGGTTAATAAAAATTTTCCTCAGTGTACTTTCCGCTCTCACTTCCCGCCCTCACTCATGTAATAATTCAGGTATGTTCAGAACGAAACATAGACTTATTAATTTTGATCGAAATTTGATGGATGTAAATAAAAAAGTATACAAACCTCGGTAGGGAGTTACATTCCTGTCTCGAGATTATAGCAAAACCTCGACGTTTTGCGTCTCGGTTAACTAACTAATCTCACGACAGGAATGAATCGCTTCCCACCTCGGTGTGGAATATACTATTTCCTACCTCAACTTCTCTAGCTTGAACATCTGTTACATTGTTGTAGAACCTGAAATCGACTGTTTTATCATTTGTGATGATGAAGATGTACGTTGTTGTACAATTTTCATGAGGACCTGCAAAAATAATACAATAATTATTAGTGTTTTTTTTATCGTGAGGACATTGGCGGATTTACAGTCGTGGCCGCCGTAGGAACACGTTGCCTTGGCCGCTCTAGGGCCGAGGCCATGAACGTTCTCATTGCCAATTTTTAACAAGATCACTTCAGAAAATTTTGATTACTTGGTTTCAGAAATGTTTGCACATTTGTGCCTTTTGGGAGGATTACCGACAATTGGACGTGGTCAATTGGACACACGAAAATTGGACGCGGATAATTGGACGCGTCGACAATTGGACGCGGCGACAATTGGACGCGGCGACAATTGGACGCGGCGACAATTGGACGCGACGAAAATTGGACGCGGCGACAATTGAGCGCATGGGAAAATAAAAATAATTTTATAATTCCAATGAAATTTATTGCATGGAATATGCAGGGCTCATATCTATAATATAACAAATACCTAACCTAACCTTACTAACCTAAAATATTGTACTAAATTCATATTACGATATGAGATAGGAAAATAATTGTCAAACGAGGCCATAGGTATTTGTTATAATTATGGATATAAGCCCATCAGTATTTCATATTTTATACAATGAATTTCATTGGAATTATAAAATTATTTTTATTTACGCATGCGTCCAATTGTCGCCGCGTCGAATTGTCGCCGCGTCGAATTGTCGCCGCGTCTAATTGACGCCGCGTCTAATTGTCGCCGCGTCCAATTGTCGCCGCGTCCAATTGTCGCCGCGTCCAATTGTCGCCGCGTCCAATTGTCGCCGCGTCCAATTGACTGCGACCAATAGTCGTGCGTCCAATTTTCCACGTCCAATTGACGCGACACCCTTTTGGGAAATTATATGTTTTTTTTCTTCATATTTTGGTGCTTTCAGTTATTTCTTGTTATCAACAGGGACTTATTTTTTTTATATCACTGATACGAATGATTATTTTGGAGTTCCAAGCTCATCAAGATCAGAGTTCATACAAGTATACTTCTCTTATACATTCAAATTTTCATTTCAATATTGAACATATTGGTAAGTCATAATTTTATATCATAATACATCATATCATTCTATTCGATTCGAGAGATAATGTCAATTCTCAATTTCAGAGGATTTTGATTTTTTATGCTCTCTTTTTGGATATTCAACAGATATAATTCAATGTTCGACGTGGCAAATAGCCAGGAAAGTAGTTGTTTTCTTCTCCACAACTTCTACGCCAATGGAAAAAGTAAAATTTTGAGTCGCCCATTTGAACCGCCATTGTTTCATACGAAAAAAATTATACCAGTGGTCATAAGCCTAAAATTGACTTTTTTCGAGAAAAATCAACTTTTATGTTGTAAAACGAGTATGGAATATGATGATTTCTTGGAGTCTCTGGAAAACTTTGAACACATCAATAAGGCAGTTATAATTGGTGATTTTAATATCCCTGAACTTCAAGAGTTCTATGACACTGGCAACCAATCGAACAATGTCTCCCGGTTACATAATTTCATCCAATTTTGTGATCTAGTGCAGACAAATAGAGTGAAAAATCTAAACAACAGGCTTCTTGATTTAGTGATTTCACCACCTGAATATGCTTGTGTAGTGAATCCTGACGACCCATTAGTGCCAATTGATAACCATCATCCTGCTCTGAAAATTGAATTATCAACACGGACTGGTAGTAAACAAAACTTCATTTCTAATACCAAACGCTACGACTTCCGTCGTGTTGACGCAGATAAATTCGTTGATCTCCTCAGTGAAATTGATTGGGATCATGTATTAGGGTCCCTCTGTGATGTTGATAGTGTAAGCGAGACTTTTGACAACATCCTAAATAATGTAATAGAGGAATCTGTTCCGTTAAAAAAATGCAAGTCTTATAAATATCCAATGTGGTTCAACAATGAAATCATTCGCAAAATTAGATCAAAGAATCACTTCCTGAAAATGTATAAAAAACGAAAACTATTATTTTACCTTCAACGCACCAAAGAACTCAGGCGTTCTATTAAACGTGATATTTCATTGGCATTTAGTGCTTTCATTGAAAATTCATAGAATAACTTGAAGAAAAACCCGTCCGGCTTCTGGAATTATGTGAACTCCAAAAAGAAAAAGTCTCTTATTCCAGGACGAATGAATTTCAATAATGAGATCTTTTCCACGCCTAAATCTATCGTGAATGCATTTGCAACTAATTTTCGAAATGCATATGTTGTTGATCATGACGATATCATCTTAACTGATAATCAAATTAATGAAGAACTTTTGAATTCCAGTCTATTGCTTGACATGACTAAAATTACCCAAAAACATATATTGGATGCTGCCAAAAAACTCAAGAATAAATTGACGTGTGGACCGGAAGGAATCCCTGCTAAAATTGTGAAAACATTTATCAATTCCTTATGTCGACCATTAGAGATCATTTTCAACTTGATTTTGAGATCAAGTAAATTTCCATCACTTTGGAAGCTATCACGAGTTTGTCCAGTATTTAAATCCGGGAAAAGTTCTGAAATTGAAAATTACAGACCTATTGCCATTATTTCTGTATTCTCTAAATTGCAAGAAATAATCTTGTTCGATGCAATTTACAATCATGTACGAACTTCTATTTCTGAATTCCAACATGGTTTTATGAAATCACGTAGCACAGCAACAAACTTGTGCACTTTTACTCAGTATGTCTCTAAATCTCTGGACTGCCGAAACCAAGTTGATGTGATCTACACAGACTTTAGTAAAGCATTTGATCGTATTTCACATCATCAACTGCTGAAAAAACTATCTCGTTTCGGAATATCATACAATATTCAATTACTTCTACATTCATTCTTATCTAATAGAAGGTTATTTGTGGAATATGATGGTGTCAAATCATTTACTTTCACTGCAACCTCTGGAGTTCCTCAAGGGTCCAATTTGGGACCTTTACTTTTTCTCTTATTAATTAATGATATTTGTGATTGTTTACATAGTAATAAGCTATTATATGCCGACGACATGAAAATCTACAGAGAAATCAAATCGATCGAAGATTGCCAACTATTACAACATGATCTTACTTTGCTTAATGATTGGTGCATTGAAAATAAACTCTCTCTGAATCTTAACAAATGTAAAGTTATGACTTTCACACGAAAAACTGTACCAATTTCATTTGACTATTATCTGAATACTACACATCTATCACGAGTTAACCAATTCAAAGATCTAGGAGTAACGTTTGATCAAAAGTTGACTTTTTCCAATCACATCGAAATTATTATAAATAAAGCTATGAAGTCTTTAGGATTCTTGATCCGTTCCTGTAAGGAATTCAAATCATTTGATGCTCTACGCTCTGTTTACGTTTCCTTGGTGAGGAGTAAATTGGATTACTGCAGTTGTTTGTTTAATCTATGACTGCAGTGTAGTGTGGAATCCCTGTCATTACAAATATAAAGAGAGAATAGAAACTGTGCAAAGGAAGTTTTTGAAATTCGCGTTTTTTAAAAAACATGGAACATATCCTGTGAGACATCATAGCTATGACTCATTACTGAACGAATCCAATTTAATTTCTCTAAGGAAACATCGTGAGATTGTTGATTTAACTTTTATATACAATATTATTCATAAGCATATTGATTCATCCTCTTTGCTTTCAATGATTGATTTTAATGTACCTCGTTCGGTGTCGAGATCTAATATAACATTTCGCATAGTTGTACCTAATTCTCAACATCATTTTCATTGTCCTCTTACAACAATGTGTCGAAGTTACAATAACTTGCAATGTATTGACATATTTGTTCTCTCATTATCTCAATTCGAGCGCCAACTATTCAGTGTTTTATCAAATTAATCATGTTTCTTTTATAATCGATGTTAGTATTACTAATTCTTGTTTGATAGTAGCGATTCCTAATTTATCAACAATTTATATTATACGTACACCTGTAAATGGGCGTAAGCCTGCTGGATGTATTATTGAATAAATAAATAAATAAATAAAACATGGCCAATTTTGCTTGTATTCACGCGGACATTTCCAACAATTAATTCAACTGAGTACGATTTCTCATTGGTTTTTCTTCAATTTTGCAATTGTATAGTTGAGGATTGATGCTGTTACGTCTTCTAACGTGTGAATATATGAATTTTGTTTAATTAATTATTTCAAATAATTTACCATCTTTTTCAACATGAAAGTTGATTTGTCTCGAAAACGGTCAACTTTAGAGGCTATGATCGAGATTACCTTTTCTGTCTAGAACATATTGGCGGTTCAAATGAGCGGCTTGAACCTGTACTTTTCCAGTGGCGTAGAAGTTTGGGAAAAAATAGTCACTACTCCTTCAAAATCTTCACTTCAGAGATTAAGTTGTTGAGAACTTTTTTTCATCATTTTGAACGAGCTCTCACATCCTGAAGTTCTGCGCATATATTATGAAACTAGTGCGGTAAAGTTTCTCATTACGATATTAAAATCAGTGTCGTAATGTTTTACATTACATATTGGTAGTAGGTAAAGAAATTTTACTGATTTCACTAATATATACTGGACTACCATTCCATCTTCCTTCGCCAGTGGAACACATAATTTGGTCATCTTGACAGTAAGTAAATGTCCTAAACGGTCGCACATAAAATTTTTATGTATTTCGGGCGTAACTTACTTTTATGAACCTAGGCGTCTTCCTTACACGCTGCGGTTCATAAAAGACTACCTTACGCACTTGATACTTGATAACCTTTCAGTTGGCGGGGTGAATAATCAATTCTACTATATAGTTTTTGATGGATATTTTTCTAGAAATGATGATGTATCTTACCGTTATGATATTTATCTTCTTGGTCCCTGACACAGATCATGAATGAGAAGTATCCTGTCATAGTCGTTTCGACACGAAAATTCAGAGTTATGTTGCCAGTTTTCTGATCCATTATGAAAGCATCAGTATTGGACACAGTATCCAGGCCATTACCCTTGCGTTGTATGGTGCCGTTTATGGAATACGTCAGATTGTCTTGGTCTATCACGTCATCGTCCGTGGCCTATTAGAAACATCAAATCAACATGTAGGTATTTAGTATTTGTAGTTATATTTTTTATGCTCCAATAAGGCAGAGTCAAATTCTCAGAATTCTTCAACTACCATTGTTGTTAGTTGAAGCCCTGAGGGGGCAGAAGGACGATCTAGCATTCATAGCCATCTAGTGGCTTAAGTGCAAAGGTGTACCCAGATAGCACAAGTACATCTTATGGATATACTATGGATATCCATCATGGATATTGTGGATGTCCATAAGATATCCAAAAAAAGGCTCTGGTATATCCTATGGACGTCCATAGGATGTGACAGTCGTGTGACCTTTTTGGATGTCTATATATTCATCATGGATATCCATGAGATATCAACTATGGATATGGATAAGAGATAGTTTATCCTATATATAGAATAAATCAGAAAAATTGTGAAGCGCTCACGTCTCACTGATGCGTTCGAATAATGTATAGTTGTCAGTTCTTATTATGCCATCATCAATTTTGGACGAATTCGTAGGAATCACTTCCAAATCCACTTCAAATTAATTAAATATCAGAACAGATTGTTATTATTTGACTAGTCCAAGGTTGGTAGAATTGATGATCTATAAAAATCATCAGTTCTACCAATCTTGGACTATTTGAGACGTTACACGCCACCCCGCGCTGTTTTTGAAAACCGAATTAATAATAATAGGAGATATTATTATATAGTGCATCACAATGTGAGCTTTATTTTGGACCCACGCACAAGTGTTACTTTTGTGGATCTACTTTTATTTATTTATCATTTCATTCATTGTATAGCCTTGATTTGAAATTTCTAGGTATTGATCTTTCCTCTCTGTATCTTACGGATATCCTATACCTATTCAGAACGTTTGTGTCGGATATAAACAAGTACAGCCGCAATCGGATATCTTATGGATATACATTTTATGTCCACGGATATCCCGCCTTGAATAGGACTTGAAATGGATACCCATAAGATATCCTGTGTTAACTGGGTATAGGTAGATTCATCAACCATACCTTGCGACTAAGTCGTGCATATAGACCCCTACGTCTACATGCTTACAGAAAAGACACCATGTCAGAATTCTGTAGACTATCGCCACACCTGTAATTCTCAAAGTGGTTTAATGTTCCACTAACAGATGGTGATAAACCTAGAATATCAAGACTAAGAGATTCTAGGGAAATTTCGTGAATCGATTGTCAGCTGATGCAAGACAGACTGTTTCGACTTGCCATAAGTCTCATCACCATCTGTTAGTGGAACATTAAACCACTTTGAGAATTACAGGTGTGGCGATAGTCTACAGAATTCTGACATGGTGTCTTTTTTGTACTGATGAGACTTATGGCAAGCCGAAACAGTCTGTCATGCATCAGCTGACAATCGATTCACGAAATTTCCCTAGAATCTCTTAGTCTTGAGATTCTAGGTTTATCACCATCTGTTAGTGGAACATTAAACCACTTTGAGAATTACAGGTGTGGCGATAGTCTACAGAATTCTGACATGGTGTCTTTTCTGTAAGCATATAGACGTAGGGGTCTATATGCACGACTAAGTCGCAAGTTATGATTGATGAATCTTTTTTTTTTTTTTTTTTTTTTTTTTTTTTTATCGCTTGGAGCGCACGAGAGGGAATCCCTATAATGTTCAAAGAACATCGTGCGTTCCTAGGGAGGATAGGGATAGGAGGTAGGTATTGGAATTCTTTTTGAACTTCTGGAGATTATATGTTGTTGGGAACACTTCCACAGGCAATGAATTCCAGAGCCTAGCCGTTCTATGGATGAAGGAGTTTTGATAAAGTGCTGTTCGGCATCTTTCGAGGTTGACAACGAAGGGATGTGCTGACTGGGCTTGTCTAGTTCGTCTGACTGGTATTGCTAGTGAAGGGATGATACCTATACACCTTTGCACTTAAGCCACTAGATGGCTATGAAGGCTAGATCGTCCTTTTGCCCCCTCAGGGCTTCAACTTGTTCGATATATGGAGGTAACCTTCGTGAATCGATTGTCAGCTGGCCAGTGCAACTGGTGAGACTAATGGCAGGTCGAAACATTCTGTCTTGCATCAGCTGACTATCGTTTCACGAAATTTCCCTAAAATCTCCTAGTCTTGAGATTCTAGGTTTATTACCATTGTTGATATTTGGTACCTACGCTGATGGCAGGTTAATCTAGAAAGCCCGAAGCAGATGGTATTGGTGAGTTTGGAAATACCAACTGTCAATCTTTGTTTATTTATTTGCATGGATGCCATTTTTCACGAAGTCATTTGATAACCGTTATTAAGATGCCTAAATGATGTTTTGAGTCTTTGAGAAAACATCTTCAACATATGCCATGATATTTCCCTGAGCAGTGCTGGAATATCATTAGTTAACCAAATTAAGTCGATTCCACTGAGCAGTGGAGTACCAAATTGTTCTCGAACATCCCAATTATCCTAGAATGTACCTGGGTATTCCTTGTCTAGGGTATATACAGGGACTCTAGGTATTCCCAAACACTCAGCAGGCTGTAATAGAAGGTTCTCGATAGTTACATATTTTCAGTTAGTGACACAGGAGTTGTTTTATATAGAAGCAATGAAAGCGGAAAGCGAACACGTTTGTTCTTTCTAGTTGAATAGATCAGTAAAAAAATAAGATCGTGTCATTATTCACTCCTACTTACGAATAACGTGAGATAGTGAAAGTAAAAAATCTGAATAAATCGGAAGTAGTGGAGTGGGTTGGAGAAGGATGATCTCAACACAACAGGGATGAAGGCGATTCTCCAGCTCCGTTTCAAAGAGCAAATGGTGAGCGTTGGTGAAGATCCATAGACGTTTATCTTTGGAAAACCAGCTTCGACGGTATCAATATTAGCTGAGATTGAGGATCAGCTGGAGGAGATCACGAACCAGATGACAGGAGAAGATACCGTCTCTCCTGAGAACTGAAAATGGTGTTTGTTGCTAAAATTTCAGCAAATATAATCCTGCGATTTTATTGCTAATGTGCTGTCGGCTTTGGAGAATGGTGGTAAGATTTGTTCAGCTTGCTTCCTTGATGATATCAGGAGAAACTCATCTTCAAATGTAATATTATTCCATATGGTCTTGAAAAAATAGTAGGGGCCATTTGAGAAAGTCGAGTTTCCAGCAAATTTTCACTGAGACAGTTGAAAATCCCCCAAATAGTACGTAATGGAATCGTCGATGGGACATCAGGAATTTTAGATAAATAATCCACAAATTCGATGTTCTAATTTTGAATCAAATTGTGAACGGTTTTCGAGACACCTTTTTTTGGTAACTATTCCGGCGGTAATTATTTTCAGAAGAATCGACAAAAACTGTGATTGATAATTTCACATGACTTAGGTCATCTACACTCATAATTGAAAGACCATTTGAACCGTGTGGAAAGAAAGGAGATTTCTATTCAAATTAGGAAAGTTGGTTCCGACTTTTCGCACACCCTGTATAGCTAAATAATTGGAAGTATCTCAGGTAGATGGGAAATGATCACAGTATCAATTCTCAAGTATTTAATCCAACTGCAAGTTGGAAAACTTCTATTAGTGTGGCTCACGTAAATCCCTGTATATAGATGACACAATATTCCACCGTTTACTCTTACATGCCGTTAGAGCACTTCTAGTGCTTTATGCACTAACGGAAACGGACTAAGATGAGCTGAGCTTCGTTTAGATACAATATATACAGTGTGACCCAGCTGGATCATATCATCCCTCTTATCTTCGAAGTCGTATAATGAATTGAAAATCCCTGCCGATTTATATTTCGAGTTGAACTCTTCCACCATATACGTCATCATAATTATTGTGCTGTCGACTCCCATATCTCTAGTACTCCCTACTTTAGAAATTTTGTACTTGTGATACATCATTTCGAAGAAAATTCAATCCCAAATACATCGGTGTGATGCAATTGTGAATCGAAATAATATCACTTGAAAAGTATCAGTACCATGAAGATTAAGTATAAGAGATTTTTGAAACCTATAGGTTCTGTGGAATCATTGCATGACTTACACATCCATTCACGATTGATATAAACTATTACATGGGTTTAAGGACCTCCAGGAAAGAAGTCGAACGCTGAAAAGTTTGATGATTCTCAAGACAGACGACAGACGTTACAGAGATAAGCGAAATCATGTGTCGATTATTGATTGGTTATGATAATAACCTCCTTCTACAATGTGTGATTTCCTAAAGAATCTTCTTTTTATTCAAATGAACATGTGAACTGGTACAACTGCATATAGTGAAGTGGAGTAAATCCTTATTGGTTCAGGTGAACTCATTTACCTCACTCATCCAATTCCTCAGAAATGGAAAGCTTTTGGGCTTGAATCCTAGGAGACCTAGGTTTTATTTATGGGTATGATGAAACATATCTAGAACTTCCTGATACAACTGATGTGAACCCCATCTCTACGTCGAGGTCAGCACACCTTTCAACAAGATGGAGCTTCCACATTTAGTTGCATCTGTACATCAATTTCCAGATGACAATTTCACAGGGAGATAGATTGGCAAACGAGGACAATGGCCTGCCAGATCTCCCGATCTCTCAGCATTAGACTTTTTTCATGAGGATATTTAGATTCCAAAGTTTATACTCCTGAAAACATTTCAAAAATCGTTCACACTTCTGTATGGAACTGAATGGTTCACATTTTCAAACTTTTTATGGCAATGATATCACTTCAGGTATAGAAAAATAAAAACATCTTGACAACACTTAGATCTTATTGAAACTTCCACAACACTTGATCGATTTTCAATTCAAAAATTTTGAAGTAGGGGTGCTAGGGATGCGGGAGTTGACAGCACAATGATGACGTATTTGGTGGAACAGTTCCCCCTAGTAATACAAGTCGACGAGTCTGAGCGATTCTCAATTCTTTTTACGACAATAAGGGGGTGCCAAGTTTTAGCTGGGACACACTATATACATAAACATATACATCATATACATACAGGGTATGTCACTGGGAGAGGTAAACACTTCAACTGTGGATTTCAAAAAAACCCATGGTTAATGGGTCTTCGACATCTTATAACTGAGATATGGAATGTTTTATCAATTTTGCCAATGTCTTTACTGTCTCATAACTTTCCAATCAACCTGTACATTATTTTGAAAATTGGTACACCTACTCAATTCATCCTGTTCAATCGATTGAGGCACCAAAAGAAGAAAAAATCCAGGTCAAGCTTTCCTTGAAATTTAGAAATTCTTCTAGCCCGAAAACAACATTTGAATCTCCCAATTTTTTCGCCGAATCTGAAATAAGCACCAAAATGTCTATTCAACGATGTACTTTTCATTCGTGCACATACGATTTTTATTACTCATATCATGTGCTCAAGATATTATTTTTGCTCATATTGGAATCTAGCGAAAACAATGATTACAACTAAATTGAACATGGACGATACAGAGCACAAAATTCAAAATACAACAAATGATGAAAGGTAGGAGAAACTCTTTCTAGTACACTAACTACATACACTCATAAAAACACTTAGCCTTTGTACTACCTGCACATGATATAGGGGGGGGGTATTAGTGCCCGGACGATTTTACAAAGACTAGAAGCTCAGATGGAATTCAGAGAATTGATTTCAGCAGATGGATCACCAGAAACCGACGAATTATACGTAAAGATGTCTGTTTTCCGATGAGGTTCAGGTACACAAGAGATTGGTGTTCAACCTAAGAAATCCGCATAATATGTGATCGGTATAGAATCCACATACTACAAGAGGACCTCATTCACAATATAATTTTTCAGAGAATATGTGGTGTGATAATAAATTATTTTGACCACATTTTTTCCCTCAAACACTGAATGGCGAAGTTTACTTGGATTTTGTACAGAGCAATAACTCACCAGTTTTTTTAGACGATGCAGGTGTAGACGTAGCTGGTTTGTACGTCCAGCATAATATGATACTTACAGGATTATTGTGAGGGAATTTTTCAATATAAATTCCTCCAAAATGTAGATAGGTGGTCCTATCAATTGGCCTGCAAGATCAGAGGACTTTAATCCTATGGATTACTATATTTGGGGCCATCTTGAGTCCAAAGTTCATTCTACTTCCATGAAAAGAGTAGAGGACCTGATTGATAGAATATAGAAAACGCCTGTCAAGAAATGAAGAATAACTCAGATGTCATTAGATAATGTGAAACCACATTCATATGAGTAGATAAATGTTTATCTAACAGAATTAAGGTCATTTTGAACAATGATTGTAGTGCTATGGTGTTTTTTATGAGAGTGGGCATTTAGTAGGTAAGTGAACCAGATAGAGTTTTTTATTTTTTGCATCATTCATTGTAGGTATTGTTACGTAGTGAGTAGGTATTATGTATATTGAATTCTGTCTTGTATTGTATTGTCTATATTGAATCGATTTGTGATCATTATTTTCGCTAGCTTCAAGCGAATATAATATTTTGAGCACCTAATACGGGCATTGAAAATCCTGTGTACAAGAATGAAAAGTACATTGTTGAATACATATTTCGGTGGTCTTTACAGATATACTCAAATGTATAAGGTGTTGTTTCCGGGCAGAAAGAATTTGTAAATTTTAAGAGACCTGGATTTTTCTTTTGATGATGCCTCAGTCAATTCGATAGCATGGATTGAGTAAGTGTACCAATTATTTCAAAAAATATATACAGGTTGGTTGAAAATGTATGGGCAAAATTGATGAAAACCATTAACCATGGAATTCTTACTGAAATCACCTCAGTGACCCCCATCCACAGTTGAAGTATTCACCTTTTCCAATGAAACACCCTGTATACACATCACGAGAAAACATGAGATTGATACCATTGTTTGAGAATTTTTCCTGAATGTGGTGAAACTGTACTTACATCTGCAGAAACAATTATAGTAGAACTCAGAAAACCAGGCATAATTGCTCCAAAGAAAAAGTCCCTAGACCACACTGGTGTTCGAAGATTGGCAGGCTGAACCTACAAGAAAATTATGTTCTATTCAGTATTATGGTGGTATTATGGATTTCAAACTAATGTGATCCGTACCGCATCAGTCAAAAATTGTTATGCTTTCGAGATCGAGAGACAGACTCAAAATTGAAATTGAAAGTCTTGTTGGCAATAGTATATTGTTTAACGAGCAAGAAATAATAGTCATTTTCCACGAGAATGATGTTGAGCCGTAGGCGACTGCTCGAAATCATACGAGTGGGAAATCAGCATTTCGTGTGAGTTATACACCTTACCTACTTTTTCTACGGCTGTAAGAGATAATAGCGAAGATTTTGATTTCTTCCGCATGTAGCCATCTGATTATCTCTTGATGCTCTATTAGACAGAGCTGTCAGTTTGGAATTTGACATTTTATGGGAGATGACATTTATTGTGAACTATCCCAATGAAGTCATTCTGTTATCAGATGAGCATATACGTTTTTAATGAACAATACGGATAATCTCTATTTGTTTCGATAGCGCAAAAGGATAGCGCAAAAGGAAGCCGTTAATGGAGACAAATAACTATCCTAATGCATAAGGTGATATACAGGGTGTAAATTTGAAAACTTCCAATGCGAATATCTCGCGAAATAAAAAAGTTAGAAAAACGCCGCTTGGCAAAAATGCTAAAGAGTTAAGGGGAACTAGAACCACCATATTTCAGTGAAGGGATGAGTCACCCTGTCTGCGCAACACGCTCCAACTTTGAAATGTCAAATGGCACTACCTCTTTTGTGATACCTCAAATGAACGGTCTCAGTCAGTAGTATTCACTTGTACAAGACTTTTTTTCCACCCACTACAGGGTGTACGGAAAACATCAATTCGAGGGTCTAAATTTGAAAACTTTCAATGCGAATATCTCGCTAAATAAAACAGTTAGGAAAACGCCGTTTGGCACAAATGCTACAGAGTTAGGGGGAACTAGAACCACCATACTTAAGTAAAGGGATGAGTCACCCCGTCGGCGCGACACACTCCATCTTTGAAATGTCAAATGGCACTACCTCTTTTGTGATACCTCAAATGAACGGTCTCAGTCAGTAGTATTCACCTGTTCAAGACTTATTTTCCGCCCACTACAGGGTGAACGGAAAACATAAAGTCGAATAAAATAAAATGCAGAATGCCGATATATTCCAACAGATGTGTTCCAAAATGTTAGAATGGCATTTGAACATCGATTATACTATTGCTTACAACAGAATGGAATGCATTTTGAACATCTGATCAAATAAAATATCCTTTCAACACAATTCATTTTATTTTATTCGACTTTATATTTTTCGTACACCCTGTAGTGGGTGGAAAAAAAGTCTTGTACAGGTGAATACGACTGACTGAGACTGTTCATTTGAGGCATCACAAAAAAGGTAGTGCCATTTGACATTTCAAAGTTGGGGTGTGTCGCGCCGACGGGGTGACTCATCCCTTGACCGAAATATGGTGGTTCTAGTTCCCCTTAACTCTTTAGCATTTTTGCCGAACGGCGTTTTTCTAACTTTTTTCTTTCGCGAGATATTCGCATTGGAAGTTTTAAAATTTTCACCCTGTATACTGCGCTTGCTCAAATGCGCGAGTTCAAATGAAAGACACTTCATCGTGATATTGATGTGACATCTAACCTATCATGACATTAATGAATATTATGCACAAATATCTAAAACATTTAATCATATTCTATTCCAGTTTACTCTTTCAGTATACTATGAAATGCTGCTAATCATCATATGCATGGTATCGGCAGGTTACACTTAGCAGGTACACTTACCTAGTAGTTTGGTAGTAGGAAATTATAAAATGACCAATAATTACTATACATTCTAATTATGGGCATTAAAAAGGACATTATTAATTATCCACATGTGAACATTCGTTTTATTCCAACTACTACTGCAATATTTTTTCAAATGGGCTAGGATGACTGTTCCATGTTGAATAAGTATGTTATGATCAAGTGTAACTTCCAAGAAGTTCCGACAGGGTTGTAATTTAGATGGAAAATATACTCTGAAAATTGATGATACCCATCATACCTCTGCTACTAAACATGCCCGCGAAACGTAAACAAAAACAAAAGCATTTCATGACCTTCTGAAACGATAAAACACATACTCCTTTGATTCAAAAGCTGGTAAACGCCAATGTCTACGCTTGTCTGTGATAATTACCTATGAATACATATTGTTAATTATTACATATGATTGCAGATAAGGGAACGAGATTGAAGACATACAACCTCATTATTTTTTCGAAAACAGTAGAACAATTGCAATTTTGTGTTATAGCCGTAGAAAAAATTGTATGATCTGTGTCAAATGAGGAGACTTAACATCATGATCGGAAAACTGGACAAAAAAACGATGTAGCGAGAGACAAATCGAGCATACATTGAATGAAAAGCTGGATGATAGATTATTTATAGCTTTTTTGCCAAAAAGGAATGATTTTACAGTTGTGTCAATAACAGATATAGAAAAATATTTGATAACATAATATGTTATTATTTTCTAAGTTGACCTCACCTAACAACTGCTTCATGAACATTTATGATACGTCGCTGGCGCGCTTTAATCGGATCTATTTATGTCTAAAAGTGCTATCGTTACATGAATGATACAATAGTGGGTGAAGAGATGGTTAAAAATCGCATATGAGAATGTTATTGAGAAGTTGCACTTCCAATATACGGTTTCCCCCTCTCTATCCACCATATTGCACTATCTACTATCTAAGTAGCGGCTGGACTTCATTACCATGTACTAACTGTGAGCAAATATTGAACCTAACGTAATGAAATTGAAGTGCGTCTCCAAAGAAAAAAAGTACAGGGTGGCCAACTAAGACTCCAGAGTTCGATACCTCTGTTGTCTTGAGAGATACAAAAAAAAATTCGCATTCAAATTAGAGTGATAACCGAGCTTCACATTTCAAAATTTCTTCGAAATACACAGGGTGTTCCGTAAGGTCACAGCACATCAAAGCTATGTTTTTTTTTATTGGAACACCCTATATTTCATTCCATTTTTGAATTCTCCCTGAAGATCTGATTTCAACGACCTATCATACTCAGGGTCTAGCAGTGAAAGTAACTGACATATAGGGTGTGCAAAATCGAGATTTTCCAAGTTCAGGATTTTTTTTTGTCGAAACTGTTCATAGTTGGTCAAAATGGTTTACATGTCCCTGCATCAACTTCTTATTCACTATCAATTGACATTTAATTAAAACAAATTATAAATTTAGATTTTTTCACCACCCTGTATCAATTTCAATTGAACACCAATTGATAGTGAATGAACAGTTGAGATAGGAACATGTAAATCGTTTTGACGAATAATGAATAGTTTCGACACAAAAAAGGTCCTGAACTTGGAAAATCTTGATTAAAACAAACATAAATTTGATATGCTGTTTCTTCATGGAACACCCTGTATATTCCAAAATAATTTTGAAATGTGCAGCTCGGTTATTACTTCAATTTTGATACATGACTTGTTTTCGTATCTCTCAAGACAACAAAAAAATCGAACTCTGGAATCTTAGTTGGCCACCCTGTACATAGCAAGTTCCATTGAATAAAACTGGTGGGGTATTGCTGCACTCAGTATAGCGGAAAAACTTAATTAAACGATGTGATGAGGTAATCTCGAAAAGCCACAGAATTCAGGATATTTGGCGTCCTGTTAGTGATCTCGACAGGAAGCAGGACAAAGCACCTCAAATTCTGGACGTCCTGCGAAATGCAGGACGGGTGGCAATCCTAGTTTCATACTTACTTCTACACAGACATCCAAAAATGAATCAGGATCTGTACTATTGGGATGGGTGTCATTAGAAGCGACAATCTTGAACTCAAATTGCTTGTCGAAATCATAATAGAACTTTTCTTTAACTGAAACCATCCCGGAATCCCGATCAACTTCGAAAATCCTTTCGATAGTTTCATTCTTTCCAGGAACAATATAGTAATATATATTCAGATTAGGATCGTCGGTTATTTCGTAGGTGGCATTTTCTTTGAGCTTTTCTGACAGAGCGTCATTTCCTTCTTCGAACTCAATGGTCCATTTTCTAAAGCTCTGGTCGAAAGTTGGTTGTTGGTAGTTGTTATAAAATCGAATCGTTATGTTCGTTTTTGTGTAATACGGCGCTTCATTGGTATCTGGGCTGCTCTCCGCATCTATCCATGCAGATATTTGAATCTGAAACATATCAGTTTGTAGGCGAGAACACTCTAATTCTTAGATGCTATACCATGACCATCACTAAGAAAAAAAGGACACAGATTTTTTTAAATTTTCATTCCTTCAAGAGAAGTCGTACATATATACACTGTGTTACTATTTGGTCCACCCCACCGTATTCCTAGGGCGTTTTGGCATTTTTTTCTCACAGTATACTACTCAAAACTATCAATACTTTATGGAGCAAACGAAAATAATCAATCACAATTTCTTGGCTTACTGCGATCACAAAAACTCCAGCAGAATTGTAGAAAACGGATTAGGCATTTTTTAGTCAGGCGTAGATCATCTGGCTACAAAGAACAAAACAGCAAGTTCGGATTTTTGTATTTTCGAAATCTCATTCATTCTCTACACACTTCATATCCTTTTCATACGTTATTTTCAACTCTCCTCAGTTCTTCTTGTGTTATCTATCTGAAAACTGTTCATCTGTCGCAACTCTTACCTATTCATTGGCCTCAATTTGTAAACTTGCAGGAGAGTTGAAAATATCGTGCGAAAAGGAATATGAAAAGTGTATAGAGAATGAAGGATATTTATTCAAAATTACAAACATCTGAACTTTTTAGGAATAATTCCTGTTTTAATGTTGTAATGATTTTTGATGTTGTTTTTTGATAGGTATCATTTAGTTTCTATTCATTCCTTGATGAAAAATCAGAACTTTTAGTGATTTTATTAGTTATTTATCTTTCTTTGTAGCAAGATAATATAATCCTGACTACCATCATGCCTGATATTATTCAGATTTTGAGAATTGTTATATATTATATATATATTCAAAAACTGTAACGTTGATAAAAAACACCCCGTATGAGATCCGAATCAATTCTTTATATATCAAAATGCCTAACCCGTTTTCTTCGAATTTGCTGGAGTTTTTGTGATCGCAGTAGGCTAAGAAATTATGATTGATAATTTTATTGGTCGACAAAGTAGATAATTTTGCGTAATATTTTATGAGGAGAAAGTATTTTTCTACAAGCGTCCGTGATTCACTCTATACCCAGACGCAATATTAAGTTTGGGAAGTGACATTTTTCCGCAACAGTGCGAGAAAAACAAAGATATGATAATATCGCTAGTGATATGAGTGGTTGGTGATGGAATATAAAAATTTAAGTTCGTTTGATGCAGTATAAATAAGTATGTATGTTCAGAATCATCCATCAAATAGCACAATTTATTGTGAAAATCGGGAAATATTGGGAAATGAAAATTCATTATTATAAAAATCCCCCTATAGATTTGGATTGATATGATGGGAAACGATTATTGTTGTCATGCCAATCAAACCTCAAATAAGTTTGTAATTGTCGAAGTGACAGACACAGCGTTACTGTCATTTCCGATTCAGTACAATGTGATCAAAAACTTCAAGCTATATAGGGATTCGATACAGATGCTTATAAAGAAATGAAAATACCGAATGAAGAATGGGTATTTTTGGCTCATTTCATAGAAGTGTCTGAAACCTAGAGACCAAACTCCTTATGGGCCTGCTGGCTTCCGCAATGAACCTACATAATGCGTCAAACTGTAAGTTCACAATAGCTATTACTATAATAATTAGTAGATAGAGAATATATTTCTCTTGTTAGTTGTTCCTATTCGCATGAATAATTAATTGAACGAATCAATCAATTTCCTACGCTTGTAGAAAAAATATTGTTCCTAACTCCGCTTCGCGTCGTTCGTGTCAACGGCAGTCGCGTGCGGGAAAGAATCACTTTCCGCACTTGTTAGGAAAATTCCAATTCCAAATTGCCCTAGGAATACGAAAGTGCAGTGTTGGGGGTGGACCAAACTGTAACACACGCAGTCAGTTGGAAAGACACATCACCGCGGCCCGACATTCGTTTGATGATCTGTTCAACTGACTTTGCATAAACTATACTTCGTACGCAACCTTGAAAGGGGTGCGTATCGTTTTAGCCACATTTCTTCTTAGCCACATATCGTGTCAGCCACATTTCGTCTCAGCCACATCTCGATTCAGCCACATTTCGTCTCTGCCACAGTGTCCGAATATACCCGAACGATGCGCTGTTGCCAAATACAAACCGATTTTCTCAATTTAGCAGAAATTCACAATGCAGCTTCATCTCATTTCAGTCACATTTCGTCTCAGCCACATTTCTTCTTAGCCACATCTCATCTCAGCCACATTCCGTTTCAGCCACATTTCGTGGTCATTTATTTATTAAGTGAAAAGAAGGAAGAATATCATTCAAAATGATGGCGAATGTAACGTCATTCAAAAGCAATCTGTTGACATTTTTGACTTCTCCTCGTATTTGGATTGTTCACTAAATATGAAAAACTCGCCATAAAAATCATATTTCGTGTCTAATTTACTTAATAAAAATCTGTTATTGAAGTGCATCATGAGTATATAAAGTGTCCAATGACATACTAAGAAGAGCAAGTAGCTGTAAATACATCCAAGACAAGGGGAAAAAGAAGACAACATTTCGAACTTTTTCTTGAAATATCTCGATAAATACTGGTTTGTTCGCATTTTCATTATCAAATTCCTGTTTTCCAGAGAAAAACACGTAGGTACCAAGAAACATTAAAAAAAACCATCGCAATTTTACCCTTATGTGACTGAGACGAAATGTGGCTGAGACGAAATGTGGCTAAGACGAAATGTGGCTGAGAAGAAATGTGGCCAAGACCAAATGGACGCGAAATGTGGCTGATACGAAATGTGGCTGAGACGAGATGTGGCCGAGAGGAATATGCTTGATTTATTCGATTCTGTTAAATTGGGAATTGGGATAGTATGTGGCAACACCGCATCATTCGAGTATGTTCGGATTCTGTGGGCCAGACGAAATGTGGTTGAGATGAGTTGTGGCTGAAATGAGATGTGGCTGGGACGAAATGTTTCCGAAACGGGTTGTGACTGAGAAGAGATGCTCCACTCCCGATCATGGACCAAAGTATTTACGAACGATTATTTCATTTTTGTTATTATCATTTCAGACCATTCAATGAGATGAACAGCGTTGCCATCCCCATTGATTTAGTTAGGTAGTCGACATTTCTTTATGTGTATTTGCTCTTCGTGTATTCTCAATTCGCACCGTGTTTGGTTGATTTCAAATTGAGTAAGTTTATTCTAAGGTTTAATCTGTTAATTCTCAACCTGAATATGTTCATTCTGAACTCTTTAGACCCAATTTGAAACTGATTGGTCAATAATGGATTTGAAGTTGAAAAGGTATTGTTCGATTATGACTGAACTAGGAATAAACAATTCGTGCTGTAAGTTACAGAAAATATTATTTTGGTGACAGTTTCTCAAACCAACCTATAACAGTCTTTCCAAAGTCAGTTGAAGTGCCCGGAGCAAGGAATGTTCGCAGCGTGCAGTCGATGCGTCTGAACTTCAAACGGACCGTTAGCTGCGGTGTATGTTTTCTGCTGAAACTGCTCTAATTGACTTTGGAATGACTATACCTGTATATACGATGGTCCAGATTGTTCTCCGATATTTTTAGGGGGAGGGAGCTATCAGTATCTGGATCGAAAAACGAAGTTACTATTTTCTGTTTCTTATTTCCGGAAATAAATACGAAGGGAGAAATACACTCGTCTTCAGAGGTCATGTCCCACATGGACGGTGTCAGCTCCCTTGATCACCGCTGCAATAAGAGCGCTCAAACCGTCCAACCGCGACATGTTCTCTGAATTAATCATTCCAGAATTACGTCATTTGACAGGTTGCTGAGGGGCAAACATTGTATTTTGTCAAGATCTATCATAGAAAACCAGAATTAGTGGGATCGTTTTTCTTGGAATCCGAGTTGGAACCAGGAAGAATTTCATAATTTTGTTTGGAGAAACTGTCATTATATTATATGGATGTGGCAGAGGGACGGCCTGGGCAATGCTCATCAAAGGTAAACTTACAGATAGTTTGTGTGCCCCTCAAGAAACCATGTCAAGATCACGTGTTCTAGAATGATCAATACGATGGTACTTCTTCGCAGGGTATCGCAGCAAACATTTTGATAAGGGGCATCAATGTCCTGATGTATTTTCCCAATACCTGACATCAGCGGCCCAGTAAATGGTCCCATATGGGAGACTTTACATATAAGTACACTGCGCCCGGCAGCTGGTCACAGTGCTGGGTGCCCAGCAATCATATTCAGTTTCACGGCAAAAGGCCATTACAGCATACTCGACACATTGGGTTTTCCATAGCAAGCCCAGCATATACATAAATGATGGGACTGTAATGGCCAATTATCGAAATAGGTTACATATACTATATCGAGGTAGGGGTTTTAGGGGTCCAATGAACCTGAAATTTCTAGTAGGTCTATATTTTTCAATATAATAACCCTCTCATCATATTATATCAAACATACACATACCAGATTTCAAGGAAACAATTTTATGAATAACACAATGATATATCTTTTCAACCTCTCTGACCTCCAATGATGAAACGTCTCAAAGTGACTGTCATCATGAATAACCACCAGGGAAAGTGAGGGCCACAAGAATTCGACAACAAACCAGAGAAAAATCATACATACGCGATCAGGAGAATCAGCATATTGGCTAGCAAAGAGCCACAACTTGTTGGAATTCAACCAGTTTCAGACATCTTACCTTCACAAGGCCATCCTCGTATTTTTAACTGATACATAGGGAAATCATCGGCCCATTACCAATACCCCAGCATCGTCACATTCCCATCAGACATGCCTGCACTAGGCCGGAATTCTGCCGGTAGTTCAATGTGTGCTGGGATATGTATAAAGCAATATCTTCTGACACCTCTGGAATATCAAATTCATATCTCTATCTAGATACACGTTATTCACATAACATCGGGTCAGTTTCATGTGATTCTTTCACAGGAAATTTGCCAGAAAGTAGTTTTATCAACCCTAACTTTTGACTTTCCATTTTTTGTATAATCGAAAATGAAACACGTATTCTTGTCGCATTCCAATACTCCGAGACGTTTTCGAATAATTCATGCTACAAATCAACGTGCCCAGCAAACATTGAACTAGCGGGAGAAGTCCGGCCTAGTGCAGGCACCGAACATATTTATGTTCGGTGGTGCAGGCTAGTCTGGGAAAGTGACGATGCCGGGGTATTGGTAATGGGCCGATGATTCACCTATGCCAAGTAACCATCAGTCAAAAATACATTATTGCCTTGTGATGGTGAGATGTCTGGAACTAATTGAATACTAACGAGATCTGGCTCTTTGCTGGCCAATTTCATGTTCGCTAATCGTCCACCTGGTGGATGTTCTGGGAACGGCTACATCAACAATCAGCTGATCGATGTTATATGTGACTAAGATGGCTGACTCTCGTAAGTGGTGATCGCGTACTAGTTTGTTTATGTCGAATTAATGTGGTCCTCTCTTTCCCTGGTGGTTATATTTATGATGGCAGGAGTATTCTCAATTGACAATAATAGAAGAAGGATTCTTCAATTATGATAATATTGAGTAAGTATCAATCTACCTACATGGTGTTCCAAATTTCATTATTAAATGCATGTGTTTGGTATCTCGTTATCTCATATACCTAATGATCATAATAATTGGAGTTGACTTCACTTCTCCTGAAGCAACTATAATTTTCAACTCGTTTGTTGCTATCGAAAGCAATCTTAGACAATGTGAATCTGTCTCTATATTGAAGAACTAGATAACAATGAGGTTTCAGCTACAGAAATAACTTTGTCAAGAACTCCATGTTATGTTATCACGTCATCAGACTATATTATCAAGTTATAAACTCATGCAACTTATAGGCCACTAATATATAACAAATGATTCATTTTATATTTCAGAAGTACCTCACAACGAAGAATCAACTTTGAAGGAATGCTACCCAATAAGATGTAGATACAACATACCAACCAGTAAGCACTCACTCCGAGAAGTTTCATCGTTGAAGAACAGAAAGGTTAAGAAGATATCGTTGTGTCATTCATAAAATTGTTTTTTTGAAATCTGGTATGTGTCTGATTCATGATGAGAGGGATATATCATGAATTAAAGAGGTACTAGAACTTTCAGATCCATTGGACCCCTACCTCTATAGTATGTAACCAATGTCGTTAATTGGCCATTACAGTCTCATCATTTATGTATATGCTGGGCTTGCTATGGGAAACTCAATGTGTCGATTATATTGCACTGACCTTTTGCCGGGAAACTGAATATGATTGCTGGGTACCCAGCACTAGAACCAGCTGCCGGCCGCAGTGTACTGATATATAGAGTCCCGCATATGGGAAATGTTTGCTGGGTGTGATTACCAGCAATTATCAGTGCAAACAAACAGTTGGTATCGAAATATATGTTTGACGTGGGTTGAACCGAAAATAGCTATAGGAGAAGAATGTCGGATATTGACTCTTCCCTTGATCATCAGTGTCAATGAAATCAGAACTACTCAAGAATACATGTAACAGAATTAGAAAAATCGATAGTATATGCCATCTGATCTATTTCTAGGACTTCTATATTCTCCATAATATCCATTATCGGAAATGAGTTTATCGAAAATAGTAACTAGATAGGTACTATATCAGCCACAGAAATATCGAGAAACAATTTCTGATCACCTTGTTATGATGAGTTAAAAATATGCCCATTAGTATCTTACCTTGAAGATTTTTTCCACAACACGATCCGAATTGAATGCATCATTGATTTGCAGTTGTGAAATACATGGGTGTTTGTCAACTAGTTTGAAGACCGTTTCTTCGCTCGCTGAAAAACAAAAAAGAGTTTTCTCCCGTTGTTTCTGAAATCAGGGCGATTGGGTTGATTTTGCATTTTCTTGGCAGAGATAGATATACCGGGTGATCCATTCGAGACTATTCACCCAAGTTTTTTCGGAAAAAAATAATTTTGCTCATAAAAAGATAGGGCTGAGATCGATTTTTATAATTTTTAGCATGGCATGTTCTGTGACTGTATGTACCTGGAGATGATATTTCCTGAATATTTCCGAAACGCCATGTGATGAAATGATGCGAACAACGCATAGACTCATTGTTGTTTACAAGAGAGGAATGGACTGGCAATACACCAGGTTTGCTTCCTGCCAACGAATCAACCTGCTCCACGGATGGCTCAAGGTTTGGTGGCGGGTCTGGTGCAGGAGTATATTAAGGAGGAACAGGAAAAGGAATCTCAGTACCTCTTGGCAAATACGCTTCAGTGTTCCAGGCCGAAGTGTTTGCAATTCTGACGTGTGTCCAAGAAAATTTCGGCACAAGTGGACGTGGACCAGTCACCATATGCTCGGACAGCAAAGCTGCTATCATGGCATTGAGATCCAATAGGATCACAACTAAATTGGTGTCCGAGTGTAGAAGTGCCTTAGAAAATATGGCAAGAACTAGGAAAGTCAGCCTCATGTGGATTCCAGGACACTCTGGTATCCCGGGGAACGAGGAGGCAGACAGACTAGCCAAGATCGGTTCATGAACGACACCCATTGGACCAGAACCGATATTGGGAATACCCAATAGTACGGCTATGTCCTTCATGAAGGAAATGCTACAGAGGCAGTTCCTTGAAACATAGCGGGACACACCAGGAATGAATGTCTAGAAGGGACATTATGTAAGATATGAAGTCAAGTCAGAATATGTACTACTCGGGACATCCGATGGATGTCCCTTAAGGAACGTTTAAAATCATATCCCATCAGGACATACCAAGGACGTCCTTGCATGGACATTCTACGATATGTACCACGTGGGACGTCTAAGGGATGCTATTTCTAGGACATTTGAAATGATGTTCCAGCTGGGACATTCCGTGGACGTCCTTACTTGGACATTGCATGAGAATTACGGGATGGGACGTCCCAAGGACATTTATTTCTGGTCCGGGACATTCGGACTTGAATTGTACCAAATTGGGACGTCCCTAGGACGTTGTGTGTCATTAGGGTATAGAAATCCACATAGTTCTAGAGAAAAAAGGTGCTGCTGTTCAGTATCCTTCAGATGTATCATTTTCGAGTGGAATCGATTTAAAAATATTGTTACACCTACATCTTATGCATAACATTGCCGGTTTTCAAATCATATACCTGGAATCAGCCTGCCATACTCCAACAGCAGATTCTTCGATGAAAAATAATGAAAAAAGGCCCTTAAACTTGGGTCGAAAAATGCTTCATTAGGGAGCTACAGACGTGTCCCTGGAGATGATTTTCATTTAATATCTCCGAAATCAGTGGAGGCAAAATGATGGAATTTCGCACATACTCAGAATATTTTATGCCCAATAGGACGATAGGTAAAAGTTATTCAAAAATTTTACCCGTAAGTAGACTAACTTGGGGGGAGGTAAGGTACAAACTTCCCCAAAATTTTTGTGCATGTTTTTTTTTTCAAGATTCTATGCAGAATTATATACGGAAAAAGAGCACCTTCTCTCTGTGAAACGGTGTGAATTCCTATAATCTGAGATTGAATTGTGGGAAATTATGCATACAAACTAGTTTTAGCAATATTTGACGTAGTCTGACCCTGTATTGAACAATCCTGAATGACATGTTGGGATCAAGTCATTTCCACTGCATTGGGCATAGAGAGTTTAGTTCTTATACTGGATTGCATCATGTTAACACATGGCGAAAATATTCAGGAAATATCATCTTCAGGAAGCGAAGCTCTCAGCCGGAAATTTCCTGTTTCTCATGCCCAGCGAGCAGCGAGCCAGACGCAATATTACCTCGCTATGGTGCTATAGCTAGACCCCAGTGTATACGTCACTTGATGAGTAAATACTATTCGTTTTATTCGTATTCAATCCTATCTCTCTCGATGAACTGTCCTCACCAGACATAATCAAAGTTATATTACGAAAACAGATGCCTAGTTTCATGACAATTTACACACTGTGACTTTATTTATGGACCATTTCTTGACGCTCCATACATATAAGAAAATAACAAAGGCCAAAACTACTGCATTCACTTCATTCTCGGGCTTCATAAATATGATCACTGTAATCAAAAGTTAATTGAACTTGATTGGTTGAACATGAAAAATCGTATAGAGTAACATCTGGCAACCAACAAATTCACACAAAATGATGTTGAAGGGACCCAAAGACAAAAAGCGTAAGCTGGTTTGAGTCTATCCAAAAACACTTCAAACAAATTTCAAACGAGTCGACACCACGTGGTGTACGTTTTTTGCTGTAGGTGCTCCAAAGTACTTTGGAAGCTAGGACTATACCCCGTACCAGAAATGAGCATACAATGTCCGTATGACATCATTCGACAACTCTCTCTCAGAAATATTCTACATATAATGCTATCAAATTAAATAATTCATTATCTACTGATTTGAAGGACAGTATAGTGAAAGTGCCTTCAGATGTCGCTTCACACTACTCTTTGCAATCCTTCAGTCTCTCTATGTTTTTCTCTATGTATATTCACATTTTTCACATTCATATTAACAATGAATATAATGGGGTTGGATGTAAGAGTAGCTTCAGCTAAATCTCGCCCCTAGTGATCAACTGATCAATAGTGTTAATTTTGTTATTCTTACCATTTTGATTCATGAATGAGGATGATTGTTATTATTACTATTATTATCATTATTATTACTTACTCGGTTCCAATTGTGTGATGCTGAATTTGATCTTCCATTTACTGCAGTCTTTATCTTTGGAATCAGCAATAATTTCGAAATCTTGCAAACTTGCTCGTTCTCTGAATACAACCAAAGGACTATCCAATGTTTGAACCTGGAAATTGAATATACTAGTAGAGATGTAGAAACTTCCAAATCAATTATATGGCGTACACAAAATGATTGGATACTACTCGCACTCACCCTACTCGTCGTATTCCAAACAATTCATGCACTAATCGAGTGTCTCAGAAAACTTGAATAGGTACAGGGTCTTCACATTGATTTTGATCCCCCCATCAACTTATTTCATTGTTTTTTTTTCAAGGAATAGTTTATAACTATTTCTGTAGATTTCAAATTCGTTGATAGACAAACAATAATTGGACTAATAAGAATCTTCAAGTAGGACACCATATTATATCAAGTGTTATCATTATAGATTGAGTATATTTCTGTGGTTTTTGAATAGACATGCTATCTTTGGTAGAAGCCCATATTGCTCGAAGTGAAGTGAAATTTCTTAAACGAAAGAAGGAATGCTCTGAGTCTTCTCCACAAATTTCAATGGTGTTTTTACACAATCATAAGGGACATGTTTCAGTCTTATAAAAGACCATCTTCCGCCTTATTCAGAGTTTTGGAGTTTAGCAAATGTGATGCTACTAATTGTGGAATTGTTGTCGATGGACATAGTCGAAAAATCGAATTTATGAATAAATAACGGGTTGTCAATAAATGAGAGGCCCCGTGCCCTGAGAGCGCATACCATTCATCTCATTGAAATTTCATATACCAAAATGGTATATGAAGGATAATTGCCAAAAGGTTTGGTTTTTGAGACCATTAATTAACGAGTTCTTCAAAAAATTCACGGGGCCCTTCATTTATTAAGAACACGTTTTTCATTCATGAACTCGATTTTTCGACTATGGGCATTGACAACAATTGAACAATTAGTACCATCACATTTTTTCAACTCCAAAACTTTCAATTAGGCTGAAGATGGTCTTTTATAAGACCGAAACATGTCCCTTATGATTGTGTAACATACCATTAAAATTCTTGGAGATGACTCAGAGCATTCCTTTCTTCCTTTGACATATGCTATGTTAGCTCCCACAGATTTCGAGATATTTGACTTCACAGAATTCCTTAGATGATCATGACATACATTGTAGAGAATGTTATATAGAAATGCTTGAATTATCTGATGTCATATTGAATGTTATGATATAGTAGATTATACTCCTAGTCAATTAGTAGTTTTCTCGGAGAAAAATCAGATATATCCAAAGGACCCCGCACAAATCAAATGCAATTTTGATTTTTGTCAATTTACCTGAAATTTTAGAGCAATGCAGTTCAAAGTGTGCTGAACAAAAGTCTCCATGGGGGAAAACGATTTCTATGAGTAGTTTTAATGCTACGCTCTCGTGAATCCTCTGATGCTACATATATGTTGATGGACACAGTTTAAGGAAGGTTATGAAATATAGCTTAACTTATCCTGAATATCTGAATTCGATTTCGATATCTCACAATTGCGTGTGTGGCTCCTTTTTAGATCATTTAGTCGAGTTTTTTCTATACGTAGCATCACGTTCGTTGGCCTTGACTAGTTTTCGTGCTACGCTCTCGTGAATCCTCTGATGCTACATATAGAAAAAACTTGACTGAATGATCTACAAAGGAGGTACACACTACACACGCACCTGTGAGATATCTAAATCGAACTCAGGTTAGGTGAGGTTAGGTTAGGTGGGTGTGGGTGTTTGTAAGACGGGGTTTACGAGGACAATAGCAAGTTCAAATACTAGGTAGCGAGGACATTTTGGCATGCGAGGACCGAAAAAATGTCCTCGCAGATATCTGTCCTCGCTATCGCCTTATTCAGCTTATTCCGATCATTTCTATACCTATATCATGAAAATTTGATGTGTCCTCGTAAGACGGATCCTCAACGGACGCCCAGTTCCGTCACACACCGATAGGTAGCGCATCGAAAAAACTATATACACAGAGTATCCACCATCTAGGCCTAATGCGAGGACAATCGATACACACTGTGTGTATAATGAACACCAATGGAATGCTCTCATTCAAAATTTGAATGAGGCTGACGGAAACTATACACAACACTCCTAGCGAGGGCACTGAATCCAGTAAAATACATAATATCCCGACAGTTGTTTTCAGTAATAAGGTAGTTTAGCGGAATCGTTTTATAATTTGTGGTTTTGTACTAGGTAGCTCGAAGTATTAATTTGTTATTGTCTATATATTTCAAGAGCTAATGCTCAGTTTTCCTACCACATAACTTATAGTATCAAGATGGAATATGATGTGATGTCTAATAAATAATTTCATCTATTCATTACGGAATGTCCAAACGGAGGACTCATTAGTTTTCTTACTCATGAACCGAAGATAAACGTTCAGATATACCGGGTGACACAGACACATGGTATACTCCCATTTTATCATTTGTTTTTCTAGCTATATTTATGGAATTCGGAACATCGCATATGCTCTCTAGAGGACACTTTTACACATTTTCTCACCTTCTCACCTTCTAGTTTTCCAGGAAATGACTTCAACTTTCGATTCACAAACGAAACACCCTATATTTCATTTCATAATTGGTTAGAGATTATTATAACGGATTCTACGATACCAGGTTTGATTGGGTTATTTCAAATGACCACGAAGATATTTGAGTTCGGAGTTTCCATATGATCAATGGGTGTGACGGCGCAACATCGAAACTTCTATTTCTGTCACACACACGAAATATCTTGCAGAAAACATTTGCATAAGCTGCCTTCGTGTAGCAAGTCCTGAAATTATTAAGTGAACATGTGAAAAAGAGGGGGTATTCCGGAACAATTATTCAACGTATGCTTTTTCACTCAATGCAATTGAATTATGTGGTGTGCATACATTAAATGATTTTTCCTAGTGAATACAAAAAGTGCATGTGCAAAAAATTTTCACAGCGCATGTGCACGCCACGATTGTATGCAAAGTAGTTTATCGTGATACAAGTTACACTAAAAATAGGTCTGTGAAAAAGCATACGTTAAATAATAGTTCAACAATACCCCTTCTTTGTTACATGTTCACTCAATAATTTCAGGACTTCTTACACGAAGGCAGCGTATGCAATTATTTTTCTGCGGGATATTTTTTTTCAAATTTCAACGAAGACCAATTTGCAAGCATTGAATAATCGTTCAGAATCATCAAAATCCAATGCCAATTCGAATTTGAATGGTAATGACGCTGCATGCGAGCACACTTAGATACCTGTCTAGTACATTTTTTTATCGCTTGGAGCGCACGAAAGGAAATCCCTATAATGTTCAAAGAACATCGTGCGTTCCTAGGGAGAATAGGAAAAGGAGGTAGGTATTGGAAGATGCATACATTGAAAAAACGTTGAACAAAATCTGTCATTACCGGCCAAACTATTAGGAAAATATCTGGTGAAGTTCACAACGAAGTGATAGAGTTTCTCAAAATGATAAAATATACAACGTGTTCAATTTAAAATTTCTGAGTGGCAACTACTTCCTAGTAGAAGCGACAACGCTACAGTGTTTGAAATATTTTTATATACAGGGTTAGTCACGAGCAACATGGCGGACTCTGACTAAATGGGAACATATTATGAAATTTCAGTACACCATCAGTTTCGTAGCGGGCTCTGAATTCTATATACGTTTCGAAAATATTCGGCATACCAAAGTTTCGATTTTTCACGGAACATCCTGTATTTTATTGTATTTCGAGGTTTTACTTGAAGAGTTGATTTCATCGATCTATCACAACATAGCACACTCGCGGTTTAGCGGGCATGATGACGGAGATATAGGGGTGTGAAAAATATATATTTTTATTGTTTAGGAATTTTTTGTCTCGAAACTATTCATTATTGATCATAACGGCTTATATGACACACATCTTGACTTTTTATTCACTGTCTACTGACATTTAACTGAAGCAAATATAGAGTGATTCATAATTTAGATTTCTGAACTACCATACAAATGCAGGATGGTTTGCAATTTAGATTCCTGAACTGCACCAAACAAATGCAGGGTGGTTTACATTTTTGATTTGTGAACCACCCCGTATTTGTTTATAGTGTATGATGAATTGGTATTCATCGTACAGGTCGTGGAAAGAAATTCAGAATTGAGAAAACCCTATAACGTTTCTGTGATTAGAGGTATGTCAAAACAAATTTCCATCGTTCAAGTTTGAACCCCTTGATTGGGTATAGAAGTATTGAAAAGGAATATTCTCAGACATATTAGGAACATGAAGAAAATATTAAGAAATATACTGAGAATTCGTTTGTGTTCAGTAGATATAATTCAATGTTCATTGTGGCATATAGCCTGGAAAGTAGTTATTATCTGTTGAGTATACCGAGAAAGAATTTATATTTTTATCAGATAGATAATGCGAATTTTAATTCTTCTTGATATGTACCATTTTCCATTTTTTTATGTTCATAATAAATCTGATGAGAATATTCTTTTTCAACACCCTGTATTTGTTTTGATTAAATGTTATTATGTAGTGAATCAAAAGTGAAGATAGGAAGATACAAGCCATTTCGACCAATAATGAATAGTTTTAACACCAAAAATTTCTCTAAAGTTGAAAAACCTATATTTCATCATTCCCGCAAGACTCCAAGTGTGTGATAGATCGAGCTTCTTCAGAAACAAACTGAAAAGGAGTAAAAAACATTGGTGAATATTCTCAATACGTAATTTCCAGAGCCCTTTACGAAACTGGAATGATGAAATTTCATTACGATGACAAAAACGGGAATATGACATGTTCCCGTTTCCCCGTCAGAGTCCATCTCGTACTCGTGATTCACTATGTATAGATCGAAACATCACTGATATTTCGGATTTTCTACATGATAACCCTTCTCGAATCTTATACCACTCGACATTTATTTTATTTTCTCCAAGCGGCAGGGAAAGTGGCTTTTTCCTGACACTTGACAGGCAGGAAAGGTGTACTTTCTCTGCCCAGACAGGAAAAGTTTGTTGCTATGCAACTTTCCAAGAAATGTGAATGAAATTGGTA